CCCCGCGGCCCCGGCGGCGCTGACGCTGTGCTTGTGTGGCCCGCAGAGGGCCTGAGCGGGTCCTGGAAGGAGGCGGGCGGCGTGCCCTCCAGCAGCAGCAGCAGCGGCTACTGGAGCTGGAGCGCCCCCAGCGACCAGTCCAACCCGTCCACGCCGTCGCCGCCGCTGTCCGCCGACAGCTTCAAGCCCTTCCGCAGCCCCGCGCCCCCGGACGACGGCATCGACGAGGCGGAGGCCAGCAACCTCCTCTTTGATGAGCCCATTCCCAGGAAACGAAAGGTTGGTTTCGGGGATTTAGTTGCGGGAACGTGCTTTCCGTCCGCCTTCCAAGGGCCGGTTTGAGCCTGGGGTGGTGATTCCGGCACCCCACCTCCCCTCCTCGCCCCTTTTGATCGACAGAAGCAGCCTCTGTTCCCCACCAACTTTCTTTAAAGTTTCCGAATGAATGAAGGGTCCTGATAGAAGACGACTAAAAATGACTAAAGTATTGATGCGCTTCTTCCAAGCACGCGTTCCCCCCCCCACCTCATCCCCACCCCCTCCCCTGGTTGTAAGTTGCTGCACTGGCCAAGAGTTAACATCGGGAACGTGGGACTTAACCAGTGTTGGGAAGTTAGAAAACTGGACTTCAGGCTTGGTTTGGTAATTAACTCGCTGTCTTTGCGGGACTTCACTTTGTCATCTGTAAAATAAAATGCGTATGTTTCCCTCTTTCCTGCTTCGCTGAGCCCTGAAGCGTTGTTGGGAAGAATATTTTGCATCTTATTTTTATAAAACCAAATGTGAAACATACATGAAGCGAACATCTGAACATAAGGAGTACTTACATACCCCAGATTATGTGGTTATTCAGTCAGAAGCGAAAAAGGAGATCTCATGTAATTGATTTAATAAATTCATTGATTACACCTTTATTTGATCCTCACAGCAGTCCTGTACGGTAAGTGTTCTTTTCCCATCTTGATATGAGGAGACTGAGGACTGGGGAGCTTGTACACTTAACTGGCTGCTGTCATGCAGGCTAGAAAGGGATTCAGACCCAGGTCTGCAGAAATGAAGCGCGTATCCTTTTCAGTCTCTTCGCATACGTTTAAATTATGATGTTCACTCACAATTGTTTGAAGCCTGTCTGTTTCATAGAATAAAGAAATATTACTACTGTATCTAGAAAACAGTTTAACATGACTTTTTTAAATCTCCATGTAAACATGTAACCATTACTGTATTATATATTAGTCTTTTAATTTGTAATTGGTAGCTTCATTATTAATGACTATTCATAAACAAAAATCCAAAGAAAATGCGGAGGCCTGCAAGGCCTTTGTTTATCCCCCCAATTCATTTCAAAGAGAAAAACAAAGAGATGGCACTGGTCCAACACCGTCCCTCCCTGCATCTCTCTTAGCATCCCGCAGCATGTGTACTGGTGGTGGTGCCACAGCCACTCTCTCTGCCCCGAGCACAGGGCGTTAATGTAGTCTGCAGTCCTGCCCAGAGGCAGTGGAGTGAAGAGTCATTGTTTCACACGCCAGCCCATCGGACAGGGGGCCTGGAGCTGTTGTGGCCTCCTGTGGGTCCCCAGACACACTGGGTCCTCGCTTGACTAGTCAGGGAGAAAGGCTGGCCCTTGTATCAGCAGGAACCCGCAGGCAAGCAGGCTGCGAGGACACGGACTCGCGTTCTGTCGTTTCATGCTGCACAGACTTCCTCTCTGGGGCCTTCGGAGCACGTGGTCGTGGCTCCATCAAGTGCAGCCCAGCCTCGTGGCCGGGACTCACAGCACAGGGAGCCAGCGACGCTGAGAGCCCGCCACAGCTTTTCATTTCTCATGTAGCCCTGAGCCAGGATGCACACTCTCGCATTACAATTACGTTGCATCGTTCAGAATCCTGTAGGCTTCAGCTCGATTAGGGGATAGTCTAGTCACCAATGGAAAAGAAAATAAATTTCACTATAAAGTGGTATTTCCTTGAAGGGCACAGACCCACTCTGCAGGAGTCTGGACAGTAGGAGTGAATGAGTGAGTAAGAATCGTATTCCTCCTCCTTTCTTTATGACCTCTCCCTCTATTCAGACCTACGTTTCCCCAGGCTAGTACCAACAGGATGAAGCTCATAGTCTCTAATTTTTTTTTTATTGAAGTGTAGGTGATTTACAATATTGTGTTAGTTTCTGGTATACAGCATAATGATTCAGTTATACATATATATTCTTTTTCATTATAGGTTATTACAGGATATTAAATCTAGTCCCCTGTGCTGTTCAGTAGGACCTTGTTGTTTATCTATTTTATACATAGTAGCTTCTACCTGCTGGTCCCAAACTCTTAATTTAACCTCCCCCCCCCTTTGGTAACCATAAGTTTGTTTTCTGTCTTTCTGTTTTGTAAATAAGTTCATTTGTGTCATTTTTTTAGATTCCACATATAAGTGATATCATATGGTATTTGTCTTTCTCTGTCTGTCATAGTCCCTAATTTTTCATGTGTATCTTAGATAGACCAAGCCATTGCCTTCTGAACGTTAAGTTACTTAGATTAGTGAGAGTAACAAGAAAGCAGGATGGTTGCAATTTATTTTTTTAATGTACTAAGTGTACCAATATTTATCGAGCAGCCAGCAGGCACAGTGCTCAATGCCCTGAGGATAAGGCGTAACCCCTTCCTTTAGGGTTGGAAGTTGAGTGGGGGGACACTGACGTGTAAAGAGGCAACAATAATTATGAGTGATAAATACTGTGCTCACCATGGGGTAGAAACACAGCAACTGTAATGCAGCTACTTTTGAGTTTTAAAAATCAGATTTCTAAAGATTTCTAAGAGTTAACTGCCTAATCCATTAGGCAATATGTTCTAGTTGGTGAAACTCTGCAGTCATTTATTTTCCTCTTCATTCCCTCAGTTTCATAATATCCATTGGAGACCATGGGCAGTTGTGATGGTCACATGTCCTGTGGGGACTGTTGGAGAACCTTCTAGACCAGTATGTTCCAAACTGCAGGTCTCAGTCCACTAGTGGGTGAATAATCAGTTTAATGAGTTGATACACGTTAATGAATAGACAAGTATTATATCTTGATGCAGTTGTTTCAATCGTACATTTATGTGTCCACGGTACAAAATGTATCTCTTAATGTGGCTCATGGTCGAAAAGGTTTGGGAGCCCCTGTTCTGTATTGTAAAGAGAAAACATGATAAGTGTTCAACGAAGGAGCCCGGATCAGAAATCAGAAGATCCACATTCTAAACTCAGCTTTGCTACCCTGAGAACTCAAGGGATGCATTTCAACCCTCTGATCATCAGCTTCTTCATTTGACAAACAAACCAACAGGTATCATCAAGCCTCTCTCAGGACAATCGTGAAGATTAAATGTGACCAACCATATGTAGAAAGAGTTTAAAAGCCCTAAAACCCCATGTACTGGGATGTAGCAACTTTGTTTTCTTTTTTTTTAGAGGGGGAGGGGAGTTTATTTAAAATAAATTAGGCTTATTTGTATACTTTTTTATTGAAGTACAGTCAGTTACAATGTGTCAGTTTCTGATGTACTGCATAATGTTCCAGTCATGCATGTACATACATATATTCGTTTTCATATTCTTTGTCATTAAAGGTTATTACAAGATATTGACTATAGTTCCCTGTGTGGTACAGAAGAAACTTGTTTTTTAATCTATTTTTATATATAGTAGCTAACATTTGCAAATCTCAAACTCCCAAATTTATCCCTTCCCACCCCCTTTCCCTAGTAACCATAAGATTGTGTGTGTGTATATATACATATATATATATATATAATTTTTTTTAATGGAGGTGCTGGGGACTGAACCCAGAACCTTGTGCATGCTAAGCACACACTCTACCACTGAGCTACACCCTCCCCCCTGGAATGTGGCAGCTTTGTAGCAGACAGTTTAGGACCCCAAAGTAGAGGAGGAGAAGGCATACCCTATACTGATTATGAAGCAATGACCCTGATCTTCCTCCTCCGTGTGGACACTCTCTCATCTCTTCCACCTCCCCGTCCGGCCTGGACCCCTCACGCTCACCTCTAAATGGTGATTCCTGTTCCGCTTTGTAAAGAAGAGAGATTCATTCCTAGACAAGGCATTATCTCCTGCTCTCAGGAGTAAGCAAGAAACATTTGCTGATAATAACCACATTTGCATATTTAATAATAGTTTCCAAAATGCTTTTAAATGCAGCATGTCATTTAATTATCCCCCAGATCTTTGGCATGTTCATATGCCCATTGTGCAGAAGAGGCTCACTAAGGTTATGTGAATTGCCCAAGATTGTGTCGCTTCTAATACGGCACTTAAGATCAGCTTAGTTGAAACAGCATCGGTGAAACTCTTGAGGCAAATTAATTCAGAGGATCCACACCACATTTCCCTCTGCCACCCAGAAGAGAGTAACATGGAAAGAAAATATTGAGACCCAGCTACAGCCAATATTACATGGCAGAGTGGGGAGTGGGGTGCAGAGGCTTCACAAAGAAATCAAGACAGAGAGTGGGACTCCAGGCTGGAGGGCCACTTCCCGCATGAAGCACCCATCGCTCTTAGCAAACCCTTCAGCCAAGGTAGCAGAGGATGCAAAGAGAATAAATGAAAGGTTTCTTTCTCCTGGCTCTGGAGGTCAGCCAGCCAAACTGCATCAAGCCCTGTGCTAGCAAAATTTTTCCTCTGGAATTTCAGACTGACTTCCTTGCTCAGAGAAAACCCTGGTAGTGTGAGCCAGGACTCTGGGATTACCCGGAAGGTGCAATTCCCGTCCTGACCACAAGGTGATGCAATGGCCCTAAATATAGCCACTTGAGGCGTCTGGGAGAAAACAAGTCTATGAAGGCGGAGAGTTCAAACCATCAGTTCCTGAAGGCCTCTAAAACATCAAGATGCACTGATAGCTATTAATGTGGTTTTTGTCCATGTCAGATCCCTGACTCTGTCAGATTTTGGATTTCTCCGTGCCTCAACAGGATCAAACAGCTCCAATACGCATGTGACCTTAAGCAAGTCAGCTGACATCTCTAAGCCTCAGTTTTCTCATCTGTAAAATGTGGAGATTAATAGCAGCCTATTGATCAAGTTGTTGTGAGGATTACAGGAGCCGTACATGCTGGCTGCTAA